CAACTAGAGACCTATATATATATATATATATATATTCCCTACAGCAGGAGTGCTTAAATTTGGCCTGCGGGGCTGGCCTGGAAATATCAAAGGACCAGCCCACGGTGTCTCTGCCAGCCAAAACGGGCCGCAGGGGGCTGTGAGGTCTCCACAAGGCCTGTTTTTGGCTGGCAGAGTGCTGCTAGAGGCCAGGGAGGCCAAAAACAGGCCACATGGGGCATCACGTGGCCTCCATGTGGCCTCTTTTGGCTAATAAAGTGCTGCCGGAGCTGTTCAGGTTGAAAATGGAGCAGAGGGGGCCGTATGCGGTCCCCCCGTGCCCTATTTCCCGTCAGGGTACTGCAGGAAGCATCAGTCCCATCTTTCCTCTGCTCCCCCCCCCCAGCCATCAGAGAACTACAATGCTGATCCGGCCCTCGAAGAAATCCAGTTTGACATCCCTGCCCGACAGTCTTATGTGAGTCTTGTCTCTTGGTGCAGCCCCACTCAGTTTATTTTCTAAATATGTCTACTACAGCTGTCTTCATTGGTTGTACTTGCTAAAGGTGATTCATAATCACTCACTAGGCCAGGTTCCTGGGGTTGGTGATGAAATAAACATATGAAGCACAATAGAATGCTCTTCTAAGTATGATACCTGATCTTTGCTGTAGAAGGAGTTGGCTATCACCAAGAACTATTCTGTCTCCAAGAGTTTCAGATTGTTCTTGTTATTCTCATTTTTGTAAAATACTCCCCATTCCCAATGCCATATGGCCAGCTTATTTTTATTTAACAAAAATGATTTGTGATGTATGACATGATGAAATTTATTTCATTTCTTAAATTTTTTTGGCTGCTTATAGTCCGTAAATGTGTCTTAAATGATTCCTGATTCATACCTGTAGAGATTACAGTACAAAAGCCTGTGGCATACATTTTATTTCTGTTTCTTAAAATCAGGTCCATCTTTAATTTCCTCAAAACAGTAATAAAATAGAAAGGAATTAAAACACAAAATGGAATTCAAAAGCTTTTACAAAACCTGAAATGTGTCTGATGAAGATAAAGAGCTTTTGGTTTAGAATTCAAAAGTATTCCTTTAAGAGGATTGATTGATAGTTACTTTTTTGTTTTTGTCTTTTCCATTAAATTCTTGTCAGTGCCTGAGTCTTCTACATGTTAATTCAGTTATGTTTTGATTTGCCTACATTGAAACAATTGAATGGTGTCTGTGTCTATTTTTTGAAGTGCACATTACTGTAAGAAGAAACAACTGTTCTATGAACGTTTCTGAGACTAATCAATGCAAAATTGATAATAGGAAGCTGCAGATAACTCTGGCCTTTCATAGGTATGGTAGAAAATCTGACTTCATAATGGACATCTTCTTTTAAAATTGTAGATATGAAGTAGCTTTTAGTGTTAGTAAGTTCATATATTAAAGTAAGATGTGGCTCTCCTCTTGGTTAAAACTAGTGAGATAATTATATATTTAAAAACAGTTAGTTAAACAGAGGAACTTTATTCACTGGGAAAAATCACTGTGGATTCATTGCCAGGGCTAAGAAAATGTTTTATTATATAGTAAACTTGTCAAGGATGAAATATAAAATAATACTATATTTGTACTTCTATTAAAATCTGTATTTTAATTTACTGGAAATAAATAAGAGCATAATCTATAATTTATATATATAAAAGTGAAATACCACTCATGCATCATCACGAAATCTCCAGAACTGTAAAGCCAAAGGTGTGTTATATTATTATTAACATGCTCTGATGCTAAGGAGTTAGACATTCTTCTTCCCCTCCCTACCTGAAAAGAATTCTGTTCCAACTGCCACTTGGACATGGGCATGGCCAGCTTGTGATTCATCCGGCCTGCAGGCTGGGAGTTTAGACATTCTACTCCTTCTCCCCATCTGAAAACGCTCTGATGCTAAGGACTTAGACTGAGGGAGAGAAGGGGATAAGGTAGGAGAGGTCTTTGTGGGGCAAGCCTGAGGGAGAGAAGGGGAGAGGAAAGGCCGATTGTAACTAATCATTAATTTAGCATAATTTCGTAGGGGAGCACGGGTATCTGTCTAATATACCAATAAAATAAAGAGCATAATCTGCCAATAAAAAAATTAAATATTCCCTACAAATTTAAATGCAGTATAATTTGCTATATAATACTATTGTACAATAGGACTTCTCTGTTCTTCAGATTTGATTCCAAATATGTACCGGGACAGTCCTTTGTAGATTCTGCATGACCCCAAGAAAAGATTTAACTGCTCTAAAGGGTTGATTTGTGTATTTATAGCTCTGTGCATTCTGAAATACCTTTCCAGAATTGAATCTGCAGTATAACACAACTGTGCTATACAGCTGTACTGCTTCAAAAGAAATCCACATAACTGTTTCCTGGAAAGATGCCTGATGACACATTGATCAATGTTCAGAACTTTGGCTGGCTGTTTCAGGAACTTAGCTGAGAAAAAGCAAATCAGCAGAACTACTGTATGACTTTCATATAAACTAGAAGCTATGGTAAAAAGATTATACAGTGCAATATGTGTACAAAAGTTAACATTTTAAAAAATGAATATATATTTTAAAAAGGATACATTAAACAAATGCCCTTTGACAGAAGATGATAACAGGGGTAGAAGGGGAAAATAGGGACAACTGATTGTCAGAGTAGGAAAAAAAGTTAGTGTTTCCCTCCTTAAAATGCACACTGCCAAAATTGGTTAAACAGAAAAGATTACAATTCCCTAGATGGACATGGACATGTAGTGGGTTTTTTCAACAAAAAATCATCAGTGATTTTTTTCAGGATGTTTTTCAACTTTAGTCTAGCTCTTCTCTTTAGGAGTAGGTTTGGTTTCCCATTCAAATAGTAATTGTGTCTGTTTCTTGTTTTCATGGTCGGTCAAGGTTGGCTAGCTGCTACTATCTGCTGAGGCTGTCTCAGAATACAAGTTATCAGGTTGTTTATAAGAGACTGTGTGGTTACAAACCTGACGTGAACCATTTTTAAAGGTTCTAGGGCTGTACCCAAAGCATTTGGGAGTCATGTTGGCTTAATTTGTCCATATCCCTGGCTTAGAACCTGTCTGTTTAAGGGATTTCCTATCTAATTCTGAGTCTGTTTTATTCTTTTGATCTGCAACAAAGTATACACCCACGACTGTATATGCACATATCTGATTTCCTCTCAGAAAAGAAAATATTTTCTCATGTACTGTCTCCAAATTGTGTGGTGTACTCTATTTAGGACAGGGATGCGGTGGCTCAGTGGCTAAGATGCTGAGCTTGTCGATCAGAAAGGTCAGCAGTTTGATGGTTCAAATCCCTAGTGCTGCGTAATGGAGCCGCGTTACTTGTTCCGCATTCTGCCAATCTAGCAGTTCAAAAGCATGTAAAGCATGTAAGTAGAAAAATAGGGATCCCCTTTGGTGGGAAGGTAACAGCGTTCCATGCACCTTCGGCGGTTTAGTCATGCTGGCCACATGACCATGAAGACGTTTTTGAACAGTGCTGGCTCTTCAGCTGTGAAATGGAGATGAGCACTGCCCCCTTGAGTCCGGAACGACTAGCACATATGTGTGAGTGAAACCTTTACCTTACTCTATTTAGAATTACAGAGTTGGAAGGGATCTTGGAAGTCTTCTAGTCAACCCCCCTGCTCAGGCAGGAAAACCTATCATTTCAGACAAATGATTGTCCAATCTTTTCTTAAAAACTTCCAGTATTGGTTTTGTACTACATAATTAAATTTTGTACTGTATAACAATTTATTTTACAATTTATTGTATATATACATAAAGTTATTTTATTAAATAAGAGCTTTTTACTCAAATTATTTTTAATTAAAATGTTAAATGTCAATTTAATACCTTTTTAGCAGAAATTGATGTCAAAATGCTACTAATAATAAGACATGCCTGGATTGTGTTAACTATTAGGGACAGCACTAATGTCCTCTCCTATTCTTAAAAATAAAGTGTGGTATATAATTATTTCAACAATTTTGATTATCTTGTTTTGTCTTAAGCACAACATTGCAGCAGGAAGGCAAATAATTTGCTCCAACATCTAATAACACCTAATAACTGTATAGCTCGAGTAAGTTATAATTATTTCAATGATGGGTTTGTCCATAAGCTATGGACAAGAGGTGTGTTCGCCCACTCTTCCTGTTGTGCTCCTGCTAAACAGGAGTTTCCACATTCTAGAATTCTGTAATAGTTCTAATGAGAAAGTACTGAAAGCAGCAAATTTAGGTTGGCATATTTTATCATATGCTCTGTAAAGATTAGCTTTCATTAAAATAAACGTGAAGAAAACAATGGGCATAAACAAGAGTCTGGAAACTCAATCTTAGCCAGATCCTTAAATGTTTCTTTCTTACATTAGCTTTGAGAAAGGATAACTGAGATCTGTTAGCACTTTCAAAGTACCTCAAAGAACATCATACTGAAGAAGTCAAGGCCTATTCCAGAATGTTCTTAAACTATAGGAAAATCATTCCTATTGAATGAAAGAACAATTTTATAGCAGAACTAGCTGCAACAAAATACAGGTAATCCTCAATTTACAACAGTTTGTTTAGTGACCATTTCAAAGTTACAAGACTGAAAAAAGTGACATGACCATTTTTTACATAT